TCCCCATTTCCATCCCCATTCCCATTCCCTACCACACTATACGGATGCTCATCCTAATGATTATCGTCATCATCGTCATCATCGTCATCATCATTATCATCGTAACCATCGTCATAAGCAGTACAAACCATCCTCTCAATCAGGAGGGAAGAAACCACAAATACAATAGAAAGAAACCTTAGAACTTCAGACTTTTTACATATGAGAGTAAAAAGCACATAAGGTAAGCAGGTAGATTCCCCGAACAAAAGCAGTGAGAAAAATTAAAAGATACAAGAGAGGAAATTCATGATATACTGTCCATTTATTTACTTATTTACTGTGGAATACCTCCACACTCACAATGTAACACAATACACTACAACTCTGATATCTGCAGCCCACAAACTACCATTTCCGTCCAACCCCCACCACCCCACCAACTTTCTCACCAACCACAAAAAAACCACCTGACAAAAGAAATAGAACTAATATTCTCAGAGAGTGACACATCCCAAACCATTCATAAATCATAAGCCCACCCAAGATCCAACCAGCACATACCGAGCCCTCTCCTTTCCAAAGATAAAAGACAAGAACTCCGGTGCTAAATGGACGGACGGATATATAACTATTTTAACCCCAACTCCCTTGCTCCTTGCTTCGCAATGTACTGTTCCCCCCATTCCATCCCTAAGTATTACCAGAAATATTAAACACCTCCGCAGCCCAAACCCTAATCGTTCAACCAGAATATAAACATCTCGGCTCTCCCACCCATACCTCTTGACCCACTAAGACCTTCCTTGACTTCTTCCCCTGACTGGTGTTGCAGTAGTTGCTGGTGCACTTATATCTCTCCTCGATCCACCCTCTACCATCTGCTTTCTCGGAGTCATCTTGCCTTCTGCCAAACTTCTAGCTCTACCTCTTCTTTCCCTAATCATAGCCAAAGCTTCTTCTCTTGACACTGTTGCTGTCAAAGCTGGATCAACTGTACCATTTGGAAGAGTGAGGGATTTTGGTGTACTTGGTGCAAACTCGAGTTTTTGTTCTTCTGAGGGAGAAGCAAGTGGAATGCGGGTTGTAGTTGACACTGTGTGGAAAGCAGGTTCATGGCGATACTCGTGTTCGTGATTTTCATGTTCATGCTCATGGGTATGGGGGTGATGAATTGTGGTTGAAGTGGAACCATTTAGATCTTCAGGATTTGTTTCGTCTTTGAATTCGTTCTCAGGGAGATTGATTGGGCTTTGAAGTGATCTGGTGACTTTTGGACTGGTTGGCTCGTCAAAGATAGAGAGTAAAGAAGTATTGGTATCGGAAACAAGAGCCGCAGCTGGTGGATCATGTGAGGGAGTCACATCTCTTCGTTGATGAGTAGAATCTTCCGATGTTTGCTCGAAATTCATTTTGGTATCCAAGGATGTATTCTCAACTGGTTTTGTTGCGGATTCTTCAGGTACAGATTTGAAAATACCTTCAGAAGGTACAAAAATTGTACTTGTTTTTTGAGTTTTAGATTGTCTTGTTGACTCTTCACGATGTTCTTGTGTATCGGTCGACTTTCTTTTGTTGGATTTTGGTTCGCATGAATGGATGCTAGATTCCATCTCCAGAAATTCGACTTGATCAAGGGCTCGGTTTGCTCTTTGAATCTCCCAATCCAATTTGCGCCTAAGTTCATCAAGTTCCTCTTGTCCAGCGCCAGATGCTAATGCCATAGCATCTATGGATTTTCGATCATTCTTTGGCGATGGGAATTCGTCCTTGGTGGATTGTGGTAATGGTATATGTCCTTCTGCTGCAATTCTGGCGATTTCTTCATTCTTGGCGATCGTCTTAAATGCATCCCTCTCCTGTTCAACCAACTGAATCTTCTCTTGTAATCTTGCCAACTTTTCCTGCGCTTCAACAAGTTGATATTTTGCTGTAAATGCTTCTTGTTCCCTCTTCACACTTCGTGCTTTTTCTTGTTCCAAACCACCTTGAACCATCCTTAATGTATCCCTTGAAGATTTGAGTTCTTCTTGTAATTTGACAACGACCGATTGTGATTTGAAACCTTCTTTTCGAGCTCTTCGAATTTCCTTTTCCCATAGTGCTTGTGTATGTGAATGTGTTTCCTTGGCTCGACCATAATTTTCCTAATAGAATGAGAGGTAAGCAGATGATCAGAATGACGCGCATATCGATAACATACCATAACACTTTCAAGTCTTTCTCCAACCTTTCTTTCCCGTTCTTTTCCTTCCTCAACTTGTCTCCTTAATATCCTAGCCTCATCCCTATATCTGCGCATCTCACTCTCTGCCTCCTCTCTTCCGACCATGGCGCGCTTCAAAGCCGCATCGTTTGCTTTTCTTTCTAATTGTTTCCCTTGATAAGCCAAAGAATTGAACTGAGCAATCTTCTCGTTGACTGAACTATCTCTTGAATGTTTACTCGATTTCGAACCCTTCTCTGTAGTAGTAGGAGATGTCGGTAAATCCCATTGTTTTTGTTGATTGGCACGTTCAGGAGATATTTGATTTAATGGAGATCCTGGAGGACAATTCTCTGTGAGCTTTTTAGGTGAATCCATGATTGGATTTGAGTCAGAATGAGGTTGAATGAATTTGATTGTATAACCAAAAATCTATCAGTCAGTATGATGTCTTGAAAAAGGATTGTACAAACTCTGATATTAAGTTTATGGAGATATTATTGTGAATTGTGGTCCGAGTTTGGATTGTTTACTTCACTTACTAGTGCTTATCTTGGTTAGTGTGGTTACCCGGAGAACAACAACAAAAGATGGATTTTGGAGCCAAAGCTGACTAATACACAGTCAAGATAGCAGGGGTCTGAAGAAAGATGGGATGAAAATTTAATAACAGAGTGAATAGCATGAATGATTGGTATGGTGGACATCTGAAAGAGGTGTAAAGAAAGAAAATTTATATTTAATATTCCAATGCTTGAATTTTGATTGGTTGCTTTGTCTATAACCTTACTCATTTTGGTAAAATGATAGTACTTCAAATCCTTACTCTTGACTCGGCATCTATAAACATCATGATAATTTGAAGCCGTATTGTCCATATCAATCAGAAAGAACATGACGCTCCGCTGGGCCACTGCCGTGGAGGCTTCTTCGCTTCGCTCTAGAGGAGATGGATGTGATAGTAAACACTTTCTGTTTGTTGATGATTCTCTCCAGTTCAAACTCCGTAAAACACCACTACCCTATTCCACCGTTGTCATGGTCGTGTGCTTGAAGATAACGTCGTAGACGGGTCTCTTCTCGGACTACTGGGAACTTTTCTGGACAGGTAACACCATTCAATGAGTTTATTCCCTCAACAAATCCGAGTATATCAACACAACTTGATATTGACTTCCGATTAGTCTGCCTCCACGGCAGTGGCCCCCGGAGGGCCAGCGGAGCGTCTTTGCGAGACGATGAACCACAATCATCAAAGCAAACCTCCAGAACCTATAATTTACCAAGTTCGGAAGTCTTCTGTTGATTACCTTAAGAGATAGATAGTCTTCCGCTCCCTCCCTCGCCCACCAACGCTGCAGGGCTCTGAGTGCCAGCGGAGCGCATTTTCGATGGACTGTTTGATTCTATTAGTATTGATTAGAGACTGGGGCTTTCACAAGAGCCAGTCCAAGTTTCTTCCTATACTTGTAGCAATATATATATATGCTCCATCTCACGGTGATTCTGGAAGACAGAGAAAGAGGCCCGTTAGGTAAACTCCATACTCTTTTCGGTCCATCAATATGACGATTGAGCTCATTGAGTGAATCTCAACCGTACCGTATCTATTTCACTGAGCAGCCTCATCATATTCCCAAGCCCAATCTAGGCATCTAGGCATCTAGGCATCTTTTTGCGGTGATTTCTCAATAATTGTCTTTTTCTTCGTATACAAATACCTCGTCAACAACCAGCACACCACCACTTTTCTTTGCTTACTGATTGACTCGCCAAAGATCAACATACCCACCAAAGCATGACATTGCAGTTCCAGACACCAATCAAGTACACTAAATACTCTAAAAACAAGGAATTTCTCCTAGAATGTACGGAAAAAAAAGAAATGGAGACAAAATGGAAGTTATGAAACGGGGACATGTTTGATAGAAGAATCTTTACTCTCGGTGCAATTGATAAAATTCCGATCATGATAACGAGACTAAGGTAGGTAGCTTGTTGATATTATATACCTAGTAGCTAGACCCCTTGGTCCTGAACATTTATCGAGGGTACAAGACCAACACCTCGGAAAAGATAGGGTGAGAGGTTTGTAGGCGAGTGAAGGGATGGAATTTTGTATGGGGGATGGGAGTGAAGATAGAAGCAAAGAAGAAAAGAAAGAAATAATTACCTCGAGGTAAGATAATGAATTGACCTATGAACTTGAAGAAATTCACAACAGGATAGATGTAAGGCGATAGATATCAATAACCATAGGAGAATTAAAAATAGATACTTGAGTTTCGAGTTGATCGATATCTTTTAATATTCTTTTAATATTGTTTTAATATTCCTTTAGTATTTTTCCCTTTTCCAACTCTATCAGAACGTATCAAATCTTTGCCGCCATCCAGTCAAAAACAGAAAGTAACTCCATATGAATATCTCTTCGCTCTTTATCTCTCTCTCGTTTCTCTCGTTTCTCTCGTTTCTCTCGTTTCTCTCGTCTCTCTCGTCTCCCTCGTCTATCCGCTCTCCTCTATAAAAGTGCGGGAGTGCGGGCAGCGGATAGAAAAGTTAAGGATAAAAAAAATTCCTCGCGCCCGGTTCAATCAACTAAACCCTTTTCGTCATTAGTTCCCACTTAGCGCACTGTCTCTGTGGGTAATTTCGGAAGCTGTCCATCTTCACACTTGTTAACATAAAATCTTTTCCTGGGGCCAAAAATACAACTTCTTCTTCCCATTCTTCTTCTTGTTTTTCCAACATCAACCACCTTAATACCATCTCCTCTCAATCCTTTTTCGATCTTTAGATCATCAATACCGTCAATATGAGCAACTTACCACCAAAGAAGGAGTCCGTTATGGGCGTGTAAGTTATAACTCTTTTCCTTTACCAATTCTGGATTCTCGTTTTCCTTGTGAAAGAGCTCGAAGATGGATGGAATTTTGATTGATTTTTCGGAATGCCACATCAACAACTATATCAAGATGGAACCGAGAGATGAAACAAGAAAGAGATCAATTGATATATTTCGAATATTATCCAGGTCTTTGTTATCCCACATCGATAATCCCTAAAGTCATCGTTGTTGGCCAATGGCATTCCTGATCAAGCAGATATTCCATTCTGGCCCCGAGTTCCCACAAACAAATCTTTTCAAGTCAACCATGATACTGACAATCTTTCAATAGTCCACCTTTCGTCATTGACTTCTTGAGTACGTTTATCTCCCATCACTTCGAAATCGACAAGTTTTACAATATTTCCCGATGGAATTTGAAATGATAATGGATTTCGGAGGGGTTTTGGTATGATTTTCACAATACTGATTTGTGCGATAGTGGGTGGTGTCTCCGCTGCCGTCTCCAAGACCGCTGCTGCTCCCATCGAGCGTGTCAAGCTCTTGATCCAAAACCAGGTATGTTTACACTGAACATTTCTCTTCAATCTATTCTTGCAGATACCAAAATTTGCACATGCACATGTTCAGATTAAAGTAACGTGCACGATTTCCAATTCGGGTATCTGAAATATGGATAATCATTACCCCGAAAAGAATTCCATCCCACCTTGGAATTTACATTTACTAATACAATCGTTTTATAGGATGAGATGTTGAAGACTGGTCGTCTTGACCGTAAATACGATGGTATCGTTGAGTGCTTCAAGCGTACCACCGCACAAGAAGGTGTTGCCTCCTTATGGAGAGGTAACACTGCCAACGTCATCCGTTACTTCCCTACACAAGCCTTGAACTTCGCTTTCCGTGATACCTACAAGTCGATGTTCAATTTCAAGAAGGACCGTGATGGATATGCTAAGTGGATGGCCGGTAACTTGGCTTCCGGTGGTGTAAGTTTTTTCCTCGGATCCTTTTCATCATACGAATACTAATTCAATCAAACAGGCTGCTGGTGCCACTTCCCTCCTCTTCGTCTACTCCCTCGATTACGCCCGTACCCGTCTTGCCAACGACAACAAGAACGCCAAGACCGGTGGTGACCGTCAATTCAACGGTTTGGTCGATGTTTACAAGAAGACCCTCGCTTCCGATGGTATTGCCGGTCTCTACCGTGGTTTCGGTCCTTCCGTTGCTGGTATCGTCGTTTACCGTGGTCTTTACTTCGGTATGTACGATTCCATCAAGCCAGTCCTCCTTGTTGGACCTCTTGAGGGTAACTTCCTTGCATCCTTCTTGCTCGGATGGACTGTCACCACTGGTGCCGGTATCGCTTCTTACCCATTGGACACCATCCGTCGTCGTATGATGATGACTTCTGGTGAGGCCGTCAAGTACAAGTCTTCCTTGGATGCTGGTCGTCAAATCGTTGCCAAGGAGGGAGTTAAGTCTCTCTTCAAGGGTGCTGGTGCCAACATTCTCCGTGGTGTTGCAGGTGCCGGTGTCTTGTCCATCTACGATCAAATGCAAGTCTTGATGTTCGGAAAGGCATTCAAGTAAACGTATGTAGAATGGAGTCAAGGGGGGGGTTGATTGTGATGGTGGTTGATGATAATGCGAAATGAGCGCCTTTGGGGTCGGTCGCCGTGGTTGAAAAGCGACAAGGTTGAAGTTGTTGCAGACATCCATTGCTATGGTGTTGGAGCAACTTGCAATGATAGTTTGCCATAAAAAAAGAAAAGACAAACTAGTCGCCGCTGTACTTTATTACCTAAGCAATTTTTCCCTGTTCCTCCTTTTGATCTTGTTGTCTTTAAAGTTTTATCTCATTTGATTCTCATGTGCCGAAAAGTTTCTTTTTGCTTGATTATTATTTTGGGCCGCGAGTTCAATACATAGATTGTGAAGATGGATGGATCGTGGATTAAGAGGTGTTAAAGAATATGAGGTTTATAAACTAACTACGTGTTGGATCCTTGCATGTTGTGATATTATGCCAATGATAAAGTATGCTTGGGCTTGCAAGATAAGTGTGAGAGTGATTAGTTGAGTGAGGTCCGAGTAAAGTGCAAATGTAGGTATGTGATGAAGTGGGCGTGGTGTGCATACATTCTACGTTTATGGGCTGAGACTAGGAAAAGTTGGGGGATGGGGAAGGGTTAAGAGTGAATGGGGACGGTGACTGATGGGGAAGGGGAGAGGGGAGAAGGGAGAGGAAGCAGCCCTTTTGTGGGGGATGTTGGGGAAGATGAGGAGTGGAGCTGAGGGATGAAGATGAGGGTAAGGCGTGGTCGATGGATATTGTATGAATATGTATGTGATTAGAAAGGGAGTGAGGTGAATAGAATGAGAAAAAAAAAACGAAAGTGGATAGATCGAGAACCAACCACCAGTAACTGGAGAGGACATATCGAAGGTAGTGCGTGCATACGAGAAGGTGATGGATGTATAAAGATATCTTAAATCTCGAATTTTCTTTTGTATCAACAAGAATGGAGGTCGACAAACGATATTTGCAGGTGGCTGCGGCCTGTGGGCTGTGGTGTATTGTGTTTGTTGATTGATGAGGATTTTCTTATTTGTATTGAGGTGAAGGATGTTCATGGGGTGATTTGGAGAAGGGGAGATGGATAGTGGGTAGTTGAGTAGTTGAGTAGAGACTGACGATGATGGTAACGAAAGACATGTCTGTGATGAAAATACTCATAGCGAGGCCAGATGGGCAGTAACTGACTTGATGGGATGTGAAGTGGACGCCCGAAATCTGAGAAGGGTGGAAGAGGGGATGATGATTTGAATACACTGGGAGTGCCAGTGTGGTGTTCTTGCAGCCCTTTGTAATCATTTTGTAACTAGGTAATGTTTAGAGGCATGGGATGAGGTTCTACGAGAAGGAGGCTTTTATAGAAAAAGACGGGATGTGAGAATGAAGATTGAGGGGGGGAAGTGCGGATTTGATGGATGGGTGGATGGATGGATAGTGAATTAAGTTTGATAAGAGTTTCTTGAGTTATATAATTCTTTGGGGTTTGTCTCGGAGTTTCCTCAGGCTCTGGAATGATTTGAGGGGGGAGGGGTGTGATGAGTTGGTTCTTATATTGAGACCAGAGTTTACGAGTCGGGGTTAAATAGTCAGGAGGTGTAAGATCCACAGGAACTGCTTTGTTTTCCTTTGTTTTCTTCATTGTGAATTCTGTACATACGGGTTATAGCCACATTTATGCGCGGTGTTATTTTGTACAACACAAGTAAGATGGGTGCGACGAATTGCGAGTGAGAGAAGTAAGATAGATAGGAGAGGGGGATAGACTGGACGGGCTGAGGGAATGAGTTTGGGTAATAAGGGATCGATAATGAGATATTTTTGCTAGCGCTTGTTTGAATGGGAAAACGTGGACGTTATACATGAGGATTGACAATAAGGGGGTGTTAGTGACGGTGGAAATGATGATAACAAGTAACTGCTTAACCAATAATAATCTGGCGTACTGAGTTGGGAAATCTCTGGATCTGCTAGCATCGAGGTTCCTATCATAATTCTCTAGATAATTGTAATACGAAGATGATCGAAAAAATCAATTATCGATGGGACCTAGATTATCCTGGCCAGGGATATTCAAGAGGGTTTTGAGGAGATGAGAAAAATAAGTTAAGAGGTTTTATACTAGAATTTGGAGAGAAAAGAGAAGGTCAGGATTCCCGGCTGTAGGTAGTTATGACTGGAATCTGTGCCCTTGTGCGAGTATTATCTGATGCGTATACCGATCTGTGTTTCTTATAAATCTTGGTTTGAAATTCACTGGGAATTGAAAAATAATTTTATGTGATAGGCTAGGGATAGAAATTAAATTCTTAGTGTTAGGGGTAGGAATAATAGGTAACAAGTGATTCTAGTTTTCTTCTTTGTAGAGACTTCTACCCTATTACCATACCGGGTATAGGTTGCGGTATTGTATTTAGTGGAATATATGAATGGAGCAGGGGAAAGGCGAAAGCAACAGAAGTGATGGGAGGTGCAGTGGGATAGTATTGATGTTGGGGAATAGTGTCATAGTATGGGGATGCACATGAGGAGGGTGTTTGACAGCAAAAGAATAGTGGTGAAGCGAGGGGAAGAGGTATATTGATGATGAAAACAAGGGATGATACTGACAATGAAAGATACAAATGATAAAATAGTAGATATCGGAGGGGTTTAATCCATATGTTCCAAAGAAACATCTATCAATCAGCTTGCCATAACACTTCAAGAAGACATGCAAGTACCGAGCCGTCTCAGTGATTCCATATTGAATCAACTAGTTGCACACGCGATATGATTAGTATTCAAGCAGAAGAAAACTATGAAGGTTTTATAGTCAAGATCGAGGAAAGAAACAGAGGCAGAACCCAGGAAAATTGGATATGTGTTGGATGAAAATGGTTGAGGAAAATGAAGTCAAATGACCATCTCGTCTACAGAGAGCGGAATTTTTTGAAAAGATATGTAAATCTACTGACTGGAGTCGAGTTTTGATTTTTCTGTTAAAATAATTACTAAACCCTACGCAATTTGGAACAGGTTTGTGGTATGGTATAGGAGCTTGCAATGTCTAGATGGGAGGAGAATTGAGATGTTGAGATACGGCCAGAAGGGAATTTGGTGAGGAGAAATAAGCGGATTAGTTGCGCAGAGGGCCAGAATTAGAGTGAGTGTAGTTTTGGGGGTAGATCTATTCTTGACAACAATAATTCTCAAAATAAGAAGTCGATAGCTGAACAAATCGACAACAAAGAAGGAAACAATTTTCTTATATAGGACGAAAACATTTGGGAGTCCAAATTGGACTCTTAAAGTTGTTAGAGAAAGCGAGTATATGAGACCCAGTGTAAAATTGTCATCGCTGATTCTTATTCTTGATTTATTGCTTTGGAGAATAGAAGAGTATACGTGACAAAGAGGGCTTTTATATTAGAAGCGTGAGCAAAGATAGATAAGAGACTCGGTAGAGTAGATATATAGCGCGGAAAAATATGATCTTGTTAACGGTCGGTATGAAGGAAAGTGTAAATTGATGTAGATAGACACTAAGGTATATAAATCTGTGTCATATCCTGCTTCTATTTTCCTGTAAAATTACTTGAAATTTGTCAACTGCAAGAAGTATGGAATTTTGGTTTCGTAGGTATTCACAGTGATGCAGGGTGTGGGAAATGGAGAGAAGTTTGAGAGAATGCAGATGCGTACTTCGAAGAAGCATGAATGTGAAGGTGAGCAATTGGTAAGCGATGATTCTGTGATAGCAAGCGAGCTTAGTGAGAAATAAATAGAAGAATCGAGGTTGATGACAATAAGAGGAGTCATTGATGATAATTGCAATGTCATTAACATGCTTCTGGCGAAACTGAATAGTTAATTTAATTGTCGAAATTTGCAGGGAGAAAATGAAGGATAGATATAAGAGTATAAAAAGGATCTGGACTCTGAGAATGATATCTTTATTATAATTTTGATCCTGTCGATACTCAAAAGATAATTTCCTAGGTTATAAGAAGTCATATTGTAGTTTTTTACTTATTAACGGGCCCCTTTTCCACATTGAACATCTTGATCAATTAACCGATTCTAATCAGAATTTCCCAAAAAATCATTACTCCATCCGATAATTTAGATTAAAATTAAAACTCAAATGATAATTTTCAATTGTAATAACAACTTTGGTTGCACCGGAAAGGTTCGATAGGCCCCTTGTTCGCTTGTTTGAATTTTGCTCACTTCGCTTATATAATAACTCAGACGATTGAGCTCTTAGGGCTGAGAGGCTTCTCCAAGGCATACATTAGACTTTTTTACTTCTTTCCTTCTTTGATCGACGACAACCATCCTGAGTTAAAGTAAAAGTCAGCCCAATAATTGCAATGTCAAAGATGGTGTTGTTACGCGGGCTTTCTATGTTGTTTCCATACCAGATCTTTCATTTCGAAATCCAGATTCTTCGAGATTCGAAATATCAAACCCCATTTCCCCAACTGACACCCACGCGACAATAATAAGGTCTTCTTACCAGTCATCGGATATCCGTGCTTCTGCATTAAAGGAGCTGTGTGGTGAAAGTACCAAAGTTATATTTAATGATAGAATATCCCAACCCTCGCTAAAATCACAAGCCGACCGAAAAGTTTGTTTGGTGGGCTTGTGTATTGCGAAGTAGATTGCCTGTTTATCAATTCGCTTCAAGTGATTCTCCCAACCCTATCCCAGTAGCCAAAAAACATTTGCTATCTTACGGTGTCGAGATATTGGCTCTGGGTCTCAACATTCGTATCATTCTAATGCAAACTCAGCGGTGAAACCTACCGTATGAACCCGTAATGAATTGCATGATTTCTCCTAAGTGAATGAATGAGCTAGGAAAGGGTTGAGTTCGATGTAGACTGCAAAGCTCGATAGGTTTAGAATCATTCCAAGAATCCATTCCAGTGTAGGCAATAGTATACTATAATGAAACTATGGCGTGTATTAGTATATTGATATTACAGTTAGTATGTATAAAAAGAAAACTATATTATTTTTATATATATTTATATATCTAAAGAATACTAATAATATATAAAAATATTAGAATTTAATACAAAATATATATTTCTATTTAAATTAAATAATAAAATTCCATTTCTTATTTCAAATTAAATAGGAATTTCTTATTTCTAGTTTAATTTGAATAGAAAGGTATATTTTATATTGAATTCTAGTATTTCAGTATATTATTAATAATATTGAATATTTTCAATAATATTGAATTCTATATTATATATATACATATTTCGAAAAAACTTGATACACACTATTAAACTAACCCGTATACGAAATACGGGAAATACTATTGCCTACACTGGTCCATTCGCGATGGGCTCGGAAGAAAGAAACAGCAATTTCAATGGACTGTCAGTTTTGGTCTGCTCAATTGTTGGTAGTAAATTCACGTCAAGACATAATTTAGACAGGTTTGTTGTATTAGAAAGAAGGAAACAGTTCTAAGTGATAATATTCAGAACAAAGAACGTTGCCACATGCCCCTGAACTATAAGGGGGCTCAAGCTTTCGGTAAAATGATAGCTAAAATAACGGACAGTAGTAGTAAACAGTAGTCAGTCGTACTTTTATATATAGTTTCTCCATTTCAACAAACAGTTAACAACTTCGTAGAAACTTACATTGTCCAGTCTAACTCTGATACTCTTTTACAATCCATACGATCCTCTTTCATTTCAATCACCTCATCTATTGGCAATGGAGTTCACCGCTTACCAAAGTGTCACCATGCTGCTCCTTGTGTCTACTATTATGCCGAGTTCTATCGTCTTACTTTTGGGAACAATTATGGCATCAAGTTTTCTATTTAAATTTGGTATCAACACCACGATTGAGAGATTCTGGGATACAATCACTCTTACTAGGCTTCTTTTTATTATTCAACTGCTTTTAGAGAGTATCATGGATATTCCAGACAATTTGAAGGCTATCGTTACGGCATCCGCAGCGATTATCGACATGTACACTCAAACAATTGGATTGCACGCAATGAACACGAAGTTCCTTGCTGCCATCGGCGAAGATGGATCTCCCCTGATTCGAAATGGACCTGAGCGAAAAGAACTTCAGTCGCTCCAGAAGTATAGCTTCGTTGTTGCTAAGATAGTGATGGTTGTTGGTGCAATTCTTTTAGTATCTGTTGGTGTCATTTTTATCGCTGTTGTCGTTCAATTTGTATCCACTATCAGATAAGTGATCGATTTTTACCACATGTAATGGCTTTTAGTCGAATTTTCATGCTAATAACTATACAGAAAGATAAATTCTACTGGAACTTTGTAATGAATTCAAGGCACTCATACTGCACCGGCCTACGACCTTGTCATTTACCGGGCATCCATCTTGACTGAACAACACTACTGAAGATAAAGCGACACACGCCAATCTAGGAGAGTTGGGCGGTCCCCGATAAAGCTTCCTTTCGTCATCAATGGTTATGGACTTTGCATCTTTGGCGGTACTTCATAGTTACCACGATTATTATATATGGTTGAGGTCATACCGAGACTAGTAAAATTCGCATTTATACAATTTTAAAATGCACAATAACAGTAATGGTCTCCAAAGAGTGGAAACTCGTGACCTCAAATGTACTTGTGAATTATAGGTCAAGACTTGGTCTGTGAATAGTATCATTCGAGTTCCTAGAAAGAATTCATTTTAGATTTTGAGAAATCGACGAAAAGGAATGCTCGGGGAAATGCAAAATGGAATCGGCTTCCTTTAAGATGAATCTATGAGGTAATAAAGTTTTGACAGTGGAATGAAGATTATGCTGATATCCAAAAGATTCAGTATGCAAGAAAAGCAAAAGCCTCACTGAAATATAATAACTATGAAAACAGGTCCCGCCAATGAGTATATGTACAGGCAGGATATTTCTCAGCTTTCGAAAATTCCAACGATTTTATTCTTCAGTTGTTTGATGTCAAAACTCACATTGTGATTATTTAATTTTTGATAACAATCTTAACAGTTTTCAAGATATGCGAGTTGATATATTAAGAAATTCTCACAAGTCAACTTTTAAAGTATTCCGTTCCTACGTACGCCCGCTAATGGCCTGATCACGGTCTTAGGGTAGTAGTAGCTTACTTCTTAATACTATATCAAATAGCTTCTAGAAGCTCTTTATAAGTCAATCAATACTTTTTTTAAGGTTTTCTATCTTAGATAATATCCTATTATAAAAATCTCATTAAAGAAAGAGAAAAAATAATAGGGTTAGAGATTACAGCTTGTAATGAAAGATCATATCACGGGGCAGGCAGGCAGAAATAGGCTCTAGTAACTTGCCCTGATTCGGCAAAATTATATTGATTTAGATAATAGATTCAAATTGAAGATTAGGATGTAGCTCAAAGAGCTACAATATAGGATCTTCCAAATTAAAGATATACAGAATTTTCATAAGCGAGCTAGTCCGATCAGGCCCTAGCTCACTTGCACTCCAGCGTAAGCGCTCGTTTCGGTCCTATCCGATAGGACCAACATGTCACGTGGTTCCACACCGTGACATTAAGACTATAAAAGCTAAGTTTAAAGAAACTATCATAAGAAAGTTGTATTTATTTGAGATAAGTATAATAAGTATATATTTCTTTAATTTTCCAGGAAGATTTCTTAAATAATATATAAAGCAAAAAGAACTTTTTATACTCTTATTACATTGTGTGTTATAGAGTACTTAGAATCACTTCATAATTTATATTTTAAAAATTGAATATTTAATAAATTCTATAATATTCTAGAGACCTTTTTTTAATTTTCTATTCCTCAAAACGATAAATTGGACCAATTAAAGAAGAATTGTTCATAAATATTACTAATGAAATTACTTAAGATTTTTTTTAAAGTTTAGAATCTTACTTGCGTTTTGAATTATATATATAATCGGACTTATGAGATTTATATATAAAAAATTTAATTTCGTATATCCTATATCGATTTTCGATAAAAATTTAAAAAATATATAACGTAGTTTAACACCAAGTGGCCTATATCACCAAGTAGCCCACTTTCACCTCAATTTATACTTTCAAATTCATATTATTCAATAATAATTAAATCAATTAATTAAAACTATTAAGAATCTAATAATCTAGAATCTAATTCAACTACCCCACTTTCCGATCACCCCCTCTTTTCGATCACCTCAAAAACCATACCGCTTTGAGTAATTATAAAATTTATACTTTGAATAACTCAATAATGCTTTAATTAATTAATTTGAAATTTTGATATTATTATAATTGTAATATAAAAAATAAATATATTGAAAAAGATATTATAGAAATTCTTAAAATAATTACGAATAGAGTAAATATATAAAAAACTAGTTTGAATTATAGTATTCTATATATTATATTTTATAATCGAATATATAATAAAGTTTTATATTAAAAAAGTACCCAAATACTTCAAAAATTATCTCCAATTCAAAAGAATCAATTAATAGAATAAATATTAGTATAAAAAGCTTTTGATATTAGCCCTATATATTATCAAATTAGAGAGATAACAGAGTATCTCCTTATTATATAAAAAAAGAATCCCTTATTTAAAAAGAAATGGATATATAGCTTTTTTCGAAAATATCCTAATATTGGAATTAAGAAATAATATCAAATCGATTCTACATAAGTTTTAAATACTATATCTAATATTATTAAAAAGTGATTCCGAAATCTTATAATCTTTGAAATTAAGGTTATTAAATTAATCAATAAATGGAATATGAATGAAACAGATATAATAAAGGATTAGAGTTTTAATAAACTAGTAATAGAAAATATTGATTAAAGATTTATTCAAAAAAAGTAATCTGAATCTCAAATTTGGATTTTTTTTATAAAATATATTTCAATTAATAAAAAAGTATTATTCCTTTTATAATATATAAGGGAAAATCAATTTAATAATAATAGTTTTTAATTGATTTGATTTTATTTAAGAATTAGAATCTTATTATTACAGAAAATAAATAAACTATAAATATTATAATTTTAGAATAATTAAAAAAGATTTATATCCCTTAAACTACTTCTATTCAACTAGAAAATTCAAAACTTTTTATTTTGGATAAATATAGAAGCTATAAAACTATAGTATTTATATTAAAATATTTTAATAATAATATATATCTCTTATTTCTCCTATTATATATATTATATATATTATAACCATTTGATTTATCTATATTCTTATTTCTAAAAAATATATATCGAATTAAACTTAATAAATTAAATTTATTATCTAATTTCTTACCAATTGAAAAATGCAATTTCCTTTTTTACTATTAAAAGATTAGAATAGAAGATTTAATTATTCAAAATATTAAATCTAAATAATAAATTAATAATTTTTAATTCAAAAATATAGCTAAACCTTTTATAAATTAATTTTTGTTTGAAAATAATAATAAAGAGGCTTTATTACTTAATTCTGAATTTAATAATAATCCTATTCTTTAATAGAATATATATTCATCATTTATTTAATAAAAAACTTTTCAAAAAGAAGCCGATATTAGAAAATATAGAGATATAATGATTTAAGAAAAAGAGATCGATTTATTGATACAAAGATTACTATTTTGTAAAATTATAAGAAAATTTGATATTAAAAATTATAAATTTTTAGAAATAAAGAATAAAATTAGAAAGCTAAAATATCAATTAAATAAAATATTATCTTAAAAAAAACAAAAGGTTGTAATATTTCCAAATTCGAAATTCATAGGGATTAGAGCTATAAAATGTATATAAATTGAAGCGGAAGATTATGAAATTGAGGGAAATAATAGCTCTAATATTATAAAAAGTAATTCTATAGGCGATTTTATTGAAGTTTAATAGTTATTAAGTTATTAAAGTTTTAAGTATAGATAATATGATTTTTTTAGGTGGTCGGAAACAGGGGGTGGTCGGAAAGTGGGGTAGTTGACTTATTATATTGTTTTAATAAATTCTTATATTACATCCTATTTTTCTATATTTATTATAATATTAATTAAAAAATACTTTTTTATTAAAATTCCTTTCTTTTTGATATTTATTATATTAAATCTGGATATCAATTTTTTATTAAGATAATATATTAAGAGCTTTCTATTTAATAAATACTCCTTTTTAATATAATTGAATTTTTTATATATATTAATATTTATTTAATATTTTATTTACTATTCGAAATATATAATTCTTTATATTTAAAAGTATATTTTTATAAGCTAATTTCTTTATATTTTTAATTAAGATTAATATAATTTTGAATATAGATATAGAAAAATTTGATTAATAATAAGTTATTTAAGATTTAATTAATATTAATTGAGAAAGAGCTTTAATTGAATTATAAAAGATTTAAGAGATTTATTAATTTAGATTGAAAGAGGGGGGGGTAAATATATAAATTCGAATATTTAATTTCGAGAGTATAGTTTCAGAATTAAATAGAATTAAACTTATTTCTTGAAATCCTGATTTTATAGTCTAAGAGGTGATTGATTTTTTATATATAATTTTAAAAATTATAAAGAATTCAATTTTCGAAATATAACTAATTAAAACTATTTTTTTTAATAAACTTAGAATTCTTATAAAAAACTTTTTGAAAATTATAAATATAATTAAAATATATTTTTAATTTAATTTAATATTTTATAAATTAATATACCCAAAGTTTTCCAATATATTTTGTACCCCTCAATTCAAAAATATAATTTGTTATATTTTCCATATTCTTTAATTTAAATAGAAATCCTTTTGAATTTATATCAAATATATATCAAATAATTATTTTTTCTTTTAATTTTATAATCTTATAATTATTAATTCAAATTTCTATATAAAGAAACAAATCTTCCATTTTATATTAAGAAATTATATAAAGAATATTATAAAGTATAATAATTTTTTAAATATTTAATTTTTTATTTTTTAAATAATTTTAATAATAAGAAGTATATAAACTTCTTAATTATTCGAATTTATTATAGATTATTAATAAAATATATGTTGCAAAGAAAAATATAAATTAAGATGAAAGTGGACTACTCGGTGATATAAGCCACTCGGTGTTAAACTACGTTATACAAAGTTGTTAAGGATTAAATTTATTAAAGATTTTCTTTTAGCATCTGTAAAACTTTGTCTTAGAAGGACTACGAGAGGAGGATATAAATTATCCTT